ACCAAATTAAACGATCAGTGACCACATGATTTTTTTCGACTTTGTATCGAGAAGACAATCATACATTTTCACAAAAAGTTTCAAAATAACTTCATGTTTACATTCACGAACGAATCATCGAGCTGATTTTGTGTTAAAAAGGACAAAACTTCTTTCATTCAGAAAAGTAGTTTCTGCGCCTCACTTCAACCACATATCAGGGTTGCCAAAAATATATTGCCCGGGTCACAGCTCCAATGATAAATAATATCAACATTGAGTTTTATGCCAAATCAAAGCGCATCAAAAATGAGATTTACCAGTATTGTATAGTAAAGGTCATAACAACTTTTTAATGACCAATTCATAAAATTTGTACAATATGACGCCATATTGGCAAAGAAAAAATTCTTGCATGCAATAGTTCGAACTAGAGCTGTTGTTCAAATGATGAACATCACAACTCATGTAGTCGACTTGTGGGAATAATTAGAAATAATGGACACTATCATGCATTCTAATCGATAAATAATAGATGTAATTACATCATAATGCATTCGAATGCATGAAAATTCTTTGCCTACTTGTGAATCATGATATATTAGCTTTTACAAAGAATTATGCATTATGATGTAATTACATCCATTACTTATCCATTATAATGCATGATAATATCCATTGTTTCTAGTTATTTTCAAAAGTCGGCTACATGGGGTTGATGTTCATCATTCAAAAACAGATCTTGTCTGAACTGCTTCATGCAAGAAATTTTTCTTTGGTAATGAGGCACCAAATTGTACAAATTTTATAAATGGAAAATTGAAAAGTTGTCATGACCATTACTATTGAATACCGATACATCCCATTATTGACGCGCTTTAATTTGGTATAAAATGCAATGTTGATATTTTTTGTCGTTGGAGCTGTGGCTCCGGCAAAATACTTTTGGCAATCCTATTTGTCAAAGTTTGTTCCAGTTAAAAGCAAAATACTACTGCAGATGGAAATGTGCCATTGATTGAAATTGAGCATTTCGTCACCCACAGTATCAAATTATGGTACGAATCATGGTAGTAATTCATTGTTCCATAAACCTTAACAACTAGTTTGAAGGAAATAGAAATCGCTTGGATTGTAAATCTAAAATACATTTCATCTACACAAATCAATACTAATAATATTCACATACTTTTGAGCTCCTCATATATTTCTAACTGAAGTGAAGTTTACGAAAATGCAATGGTTTGGTAAAAAATAAAAGTTTGATTTGATTTTCGATAAGAATATTGTTTTGTAAAACTTTAGGTATCAAAATATAGTTTACGGATGGCAACAAATTAAACGTAAGATCACCGTCATAAAGATTGATCATTCAGATATCGATATCGACCTAACAACTATTGCTCTTACTCATTTATTTTTCAAGTAGCTAACTTATCATGCACTATATTAAGCCTTGCAATTTCTTTTTATTCTAATATTATTCTCGAATACGAGCCTTGTGTTTCATACTTATTATGACATTTTTGCTGAAACAGTCACTAAGGTCTTTTACTTTAATATCTCTAAGATTTGTTTTTATTATCTCCGATTTCATTGCTACAATAACTATATCACGTAAATATTATTTCGTATTCATTATTCTTACTACGTATAAATCAATCAATTTGTGGAAGTAAAGAGAATCTTCGAATTACCAAAGAAAATTAGTTGGAATTTCGTATGTTTCTTAAAACGTATGAGTGTTAGAGTCTGACATGACTTTCTTTGCACTACGCATACGAGTTTGTTCACAATTTTATAATATAAAAATCAGACATTATGTTTTATACAAGTTAGAAAATCTTTCGGGAACTGATATGTAGATGTTTACTATTAATCAATTATTTTTAAAATTTATAGTTTGATCGGTAAGTTTATATTTATTTCGATATCAGGCGGCTCTAATAAACATCATTCGTATTTTCTTACTTTTTGAAGGTGTATCATAGAGTTGATGGTTTTATTCTAACGCATGCAACAGTTGGTATTCTTTCTTTCAAAGGCTTTAATAGATCTTATACGAATTGAAGCTATTTTGTTCAAATATAACTATCAGTTCTTCCGTTATTCACATAGATTGCATCTCTATATAAATCAGTTGCACAAGTGAAAAGAAGTAGCATTGTTCGAGTGAATTTTCTGTTATTTTTTTTTTAGGGAAAATTTAATTCTCTATTAGAACTCTATAAATTTACATTTCTTCTTATTTCTGCATCAAATCTGTAACATATGTTATTGAACTACTTTGTTCTTTCTTTTTTCAAATGCATGTACAATGACTTCATTTAACGTAATGTGAAAGTACTCAATAGTGAGATTAATTCCAGAACTAAACGAGTATACGTAAATGCACAAAAAAAAAACATTTTATTTTCCTTGGGCAGTCAAATATATTACATTTTATGCTTTTTCTTCATTGCAGTATATAGACATTATTTCCTATGGTATGAAATTTTCTCGGCAGCTTTGTAAAGATTATTCCAGATTACATATGGTTAAATCTGAAACACTGACTTTTGTCAATGTATTTTTAAGACATTTATTAAAATATCGTCTTGTTTTCATATTGCAAGAACAATAGTTAGTTTAGTCTCATCAGAGTGGAGTATGTCTATCAAGCTGGTACTTTATATTCATAATATTTTATCATAAATTTGTGCCATTCTCTAATAGCAGCCATTTGTGCTTCTACCATTTCATATTTCCTCACATTTTCAATTTTCTGATAGATATCATCCAGTTCAATGCATTCTTTCTTGACAGTCATTCTCTTCCTCTTGTCTTCGTAATTCTTTTTCATCTGCTGAAGTTGGTTGTTCAGAGATAAGTTGAGTTGGCATGAAGTCTTGTTCACACAAATATCATTCTCTTCTTGCATCATTCTATTCAAGCCTATCAAAAATGGATCATTCTGTGAAGCGTCGGTCGATCCCAACAAGAAATTAGCAAATTCAGCACTTGCTTGACACAAATCATCAAGCATCTTTCTCATATCGTTCTCAGAATTGCTTGTTAATCTATCGCATCGTTTATATCCAAGTTCATAATCGACTGGGTAATGATCCGATGGATCACACTGACAAGTTTGGCATTTTTTATGAAAGATATGTAAACTGTGTATCGTAATCCAAAAGTCAGCGACTTGAGAAGATTCATGAGGACATTTTAAGCAAATGGCTGTTGTACCTTTGATAATTTTGGAACATAATTCTATAGAAATATTACGTAAATCTGCATTCCATAAAATAATATTGCGAAGAATATTTCGCATAGCCTCTAACATAGGTCGAATCATCAAATTAATTTTGAGTTGCACATGTTTCGTGGAGTGTGGTTCATCAGGAATAATACCTATAGACATCTTCATGCGAATATATTGAAGAAGACGATTCGATTCAGCAAATGATTTCTCCCAGCTGTCATTATACATTTCCTCTTGAATTTCGTTGAAATCAATCTTATTCAATCTTGCAACTAAATAACGAAATGACTCACTGTCAAAACAAAATGCATTCTCTTTGGTGAAAGGAATCTTTTTATCTGGAAGTGAATTAAGTAAAGCTTTGAGTGAAGCAGCTGTACTTCCTGGTGTATAAAATGTTGAACGTGAATTCGTGAAACAAAATATAATTCTGTCGCGAGTATTTTCACCTAGCACATCAAGCCACATTCTTGTGCTTTTGGTTATGAAAATAATAGAATAACTAAAACATTTCAATAAATTTAATTTGTTTTAAAAAAATTACGAAATTTTCTTTAATTAATACTTTTTACAATGAAATACAATAACGAACTTTTTACTGAAAAAATAACAGATAAATTGGCCAGTTTCTTGAAACAACAACATCTACTAATACTTGTTCATAAAACTTGATAAAAAACACATTTGTATTTTTAATAAGTATCATCAACTTTTTCTTCATCTTATTGTAAGATTCTAAGTTAATGTTCAAAGATACTTTCTTCCTTCTATGAGGTGAATGTAACACAAACTTGATTTTATTTTTGTTCAATATGCATCAATTTTCAAGGTATTGTATTCTTAAGGTTTTCAACAAAAACATGCAAAAATATTAGAAGTCGAATTCTTTTGCTTGACATTTTTATATTTCAAAATTAGATAATTATGCTTTCAATTTATTCATGACAATCTTCGATGTCATATAGTTTTTCAAGTATATACTATCATGTCATAGAAAAGAATATTCACAGTATAACATCTTTTTTAAAGGTCTCCGGAAATTTCCATTGCTGAATATTAGCAAATTTATATACTATATATAGTTGTAGAATTGTAAAGGCTCATTCCTATCATGTTCTGAAAAACTTGTATAGACCAGACATTCTATGTTCACAAAAAGCTTGTGGCCTTTTACAGAATTCAGTGTGATACTAAAAAGAATTTAAACTAATTAATGGGAACACAGCACAATACACTACACAGTTCAACTAATTGATATAGTGCAATTTGAAAGTCATTTTTCACTTCAACTATTAGTTGTTTCAGCAAAATAGTTGTTTTCTGGATAACGTGACTTCACGGCCAATGTTTAATGATATTTAAAAAAACAACGCATAACAATAATAATTCATATTGTTTTTACAAAAAACTATTTCATTGGATTTATCATAAGTAAAAATGATTTGAATCAGATTTATATGTTAATTAAAACCAGATTGTAAGTCCATAACCTTCCGTTTCAATTGAATAACAAGGTTCTTTATCTAGAGGCGATGATAGAATATAATGACATAATTGTCTAATGAATTTTGCATGACCTGTAAATACAGCTTCAAGTTCATTACCTTCTAAGAAGCCGAATTTATATCGAAAGCAAAAGACAAAATTGTTTAATAATGGTGCTATCCTTGCAATCATTTGACAACTTCTATCATCGATAGGTTTTGGCAAATCATACATAAATACATGTAACGAATTCAATTGTGGAAAACTTGAAAGTGAATCCAAAACTACTGGCCAGTTTGGTAACATATAGTTAGGATAATCATAAAAAAGTAGAATGCGAATAGAACGAATAGTTGGTGGAAATACAGAACGTTTGTTCAGACATTTGACACTATTCACGAGAGTTATCGTGCGAAGAGCAGATAAATATATATGAATAGGTCTATTATAATAGGACAGGTGAAACGTTTCAATGT